TAGAGTTCCGGGTATCGTAGCGCGTTGCGGAGAGCGTTGCGGGACGGCCAAAAACTATCTACGAAAACTTCCTATTGGGTGCGACATCGTCGAAGTGTGAGCCTGGCTGTAATGAGGTGCGTCAGTCATACTTGACCCTACGCTTTTATAATGCTTGTTCTACTCGTACACCTGTTGAAGTGACGTGCAAGAGTCTTTATACTACTTCAACATCCTACAATGAATATGCGCGCGCTTTTCGCCCTCTGCGTCTAAACGCCGGATTACTGAGCGCTGCTCCTCTTTGGTGCGCGCTTCCAGACTTGTGCTCGTTACTTGAAAAATGTAATGGATTACAATTACAAATCGGCGAGCCTCAAATGTGATGGATTACCGCTACAAATTACTTTCGCTGAAAATTAACGAATTACTTTACTCGTTACGTTACAAATTACTTTCACGTTACTTTTTTTTCGTGGACTTATCCAGAAAACAATAGAAACAATATATATAAATATATTTTTCAAACATTTTCCGCAACACTACTTTTCATTTCTCATACGCCCATATTATGGTAGTCTTTGTAGAAATAAAATATTGCATTTAAGAGAAAGAGTGTAGGTGCGCTCCGTTCACCTGTAAGCTGACAAGGCACCGAAAGCGGCAACCACTCCCGCAATCCCGGTAGCTTATGGCCACCGGAAATGATTCCTGGAATTCTGCAGTCAAAACTAGCGGTGCGCATGCTCAGTAGCAGCGTCTACCTCCGCTACGAGATTCGGAGCTAAAGAAGAGATCTATGAAAGCTCCCTTTTGACTCGGGTGTTTCGCCTGTTATTCACAAGAGAAACTTGGTTCAAACGCTACAGTGTGTCAACCAATGCAGAATAAAAGTGTCCCAGCTTACCTTGCTGTGTTTCTGTACATTAGAGTTTGTTCTTACTAATGACAATGTGTGTGCTTTCTTGGCAAGCAAAGTTTGCGCTGAAACTTTAGGTTTATATTCTCCTTTAGGCCCTGAATCTTGAACATCTCATTAAGAGATGGCCATGGAGACGACGGACACACCATGACCGAAAAGTCGACCAGTCAGAGAAAAAGTGGCAGTTAGGGTTATCGATCGTTCATCGGTTCTCACTTTCATACCAATATTCGTGGAGGCCATGCGAGGGGAGGGCATAGAGAGCGAAAGAATCGGTGGCCATCGGTCTCACAAAACAATAGAGGATCACGCCACTTTTACGCGTTCTCTCTCTCTCTCTGTCGGCATTCCTTAAATGGCCTAACCCCCCCCCCCCCCCCCCTTCCTTTTATGTTGACAGTTGAGTGTAAAGTGAGAATTGGACTCGACCACCATGGGGGGCGCAGACAAGTAAACAAGAAGAAGTATCGTCCGTACCCTCGAGGACGATGCTCTTAGTTTCGCTTCGGGCGCTTTTCAGCCGTGCCTCAAGAGCGTACTAGAATACAGTAGCGCACATCAAAAACAAGGAGAATTCGACCCCCTCGCGCGAGGCTACATCGTTTGTTACGCGAGTTGTGAACCCGCGAATAGGGAGTATTCACTGGCGGCCATAACTGTGTGTGCGACTGCTGAGCGCGTGCTGTCGGCGAGCTTCCACAGTTCTTTTTCAGCGTGCATTCCACACCATCAAGATTGCCGGTCTTAGCAGCCTATTAATGTGACCTCGCTCTGAGCATGCGCTTTAAAGAGCACCCATAAATATGGCGTCCAGTGAATACTCCCTATAAAGGGGGTACGGACCCGCGTTTGATGTCTGTGCAGGTGGCGGGAGGTGTCGAAGAAGTTGGAAAGGGTGAAACGGTGTAAAAGACAAACAAATAAACACGAAGAGCTTTCTCCTTCCCGGGAGAAGAAGAAAAACACGATGGATGGCGACGGAGAGCCTACTTGGCGTTGTCTTGCTTGACTTTTGTCTTTCGTATATTTGTACATGCCTTACCCCCTTTTTTAGTGGTTCTAGTGACCGGTCATACAAAAAAATCGTGTTTTCTTTTCGGCTATTCTCCCCTTCCGGATGTTTTCTATATTGTTGAACTTGTTCTCTTTATGCCGCTGGATGTTCTGCTCCTATTGCTCCAGTTGCTTTATTATGCTCATATTTTAAAAGAAAGTAAAGGGGTATCCAGACGAAGGAGAACTCCGCGGACGGATGTCGTGACGTCAACAACCCGGGAAACTCCGTCCTCGGCTCCGCCGCCCACCTGCGGAGCTTTCGTGCTGACAGAACGAAGCCTCCGCACCTCCGCCACGGAGGAGAACGGGGCCGCGATGCGTCAAAAAGTGATGACGTATGTCTCACGTGGTGCGCGATCCGCGGAGGAAAGTGGCGGATTTCTCCTTCGTGTGGATAGCCCATTACGAGTAATTAAAGTATTCCCTTACCAATATTTTGTAACGAAATTACATTACAAATTACTTCCGAAAAAAAGTAACGTGGGAATTGCAAAATTACTTGAAAAAGTAACAGATTACAAATAATCCGTAACTTTTAACGAATTACTTCTCAAGTCGGCACGTTTCTAAGGGGGCGGTCATTTTGAAAGTGACGTGGTGACGTGACATTTTTCAGCCCAACGTTGGGCAAGGGTGTACATCTTTAGGCACAGCAGTATATTGTGGAATTTAGATTTTGTATAACTAAATTGCGGTTATATTTTTACTCTGCCTTGTAAAATGGAACATATGGGAAATCCTTCGAACGTCTGGAAACGCTCTGTGCGCGGCCATCTTTTTTGCGTCGAGATTCATCTGCTGCTTGTCAATTTCGTAGGGTTGTCGATAACAATCGAAGGCTACTGCTCACCGTCATCGATCTTTACCCGCAGATGTGAGCTAAGGGTTAGTATTGTTTTACGCTCTTGCGAATGTGCGACGTGCTCGTCGCCCCGCCGGTCGCTGGTTTCTCGCCGCAACCAACATGGCGGGCGTACACTTCAGCTCGATGTTTTGCTTTGAGTGCCTGCAAAGGCACGGGGGCGGGCGCCTGGTTTTCGAAAGCGCTTTTTCTTTGCGCGAGTGGTTGTGCGAGCGAAGGATTCTTCAGAACTACGCTTTCGCACCCTGGCCTTTGGCAGCGCCGAAGCCAACTGGTAAGACCATAGCCTCCGAGATCCCGAAGCGCGCGAACGCTTCGGGATCTTGGAGGCCATAATGAGACGGAGCGTGTTCTTCGGCGCCCCACTAGATGGCGGTGTGCATTTCGCATATCGTCTATTGCCAACAAAACCAACTCTGATTTTTTTCTCTTTAACACCTCCTTTCGCAGTTTTTCTTTTTAATTAACACATCTCTTTCTTTCTTCCGGAAAGTTCTTGTCACTCCTAGAAAGTTTCAGTTCATTCTTGTCACCGTATGTTCCGATTTAGAGTATCCATGAACACAGCGCACTGCTTAGGAAGTCGCCCCTTCGGCTATCGCAGTATGAACAGCACTGTCTGTTATAGTTACAGCCAAAAGTTAGCCTCATTAAACGTTTATTTCCTAGTTCTAGATTCATCTGCTCGTTTTTGGTTGTGAAAATATTTATCGCACTTACCTCAGTGTTTTTTAACGATATTTTTGATGGGATCTGAAAGGCACTAAAAATGTTGCCTTGGAAATTTACACGACTTTTACTTCGAAAGCGTTACATTATTTATGATGTAAAATTTAGTCTAATCTAATTAATCTAAAACTACAAAATGTATCATCTATATACTTTGTCTTTTGAGTAGTATTACGTACATTTGATCTAACGCTGGCTTTAGGGGAAACAATACTTCCAATGTGTATCACCGGTTTGATGTTCAGGAACTGTCAGCAGCCACCATGGCGCGGTCGGGTGGGCGATAGACAACACCCAGACTTAAATGTCTGCTGACGCGGTGCTGGTGTATCACAGTCCTACCCTGGGTTGACGCGGAGTTTGCGTCCAATCTGCGATCACGGCTGATGATGTTGACCAACAGCCTCATGTGCAATATGTTGCCTTTGAGCCACTAAATGAGCTACGCTTCAGAAAAACGACGCCTGACCATATAGGCGCTTAAAACCATGGTTGCCAGTTATCTGAAGCTTTCTACGGTGGAAATGCTGCTTTTGGTTTATTTGATTGCAGGTTAATGTGAAGCTTGTGTCACAGAACACGACATGGGCTGCGTTTCTATGAATGCCTGTCTTCCCACTTGTTTCTCCCAGCCAGCCATGACAGCCTGTCTTCCCACCTATTTCTCTTCTACCCATCTACTACCAGTCAAAATAGTCGAATCTCTATTGGATGCGTTACGGTCGTATCCGCGTAAACGCACGCACTTATTTCGTGTGTAGACTGTGTTTGCAACCATGGCGTCCCAATTCGTACCCCGTGCGTTAAAGCAGGTGCAGCATGCGTGTGAAAGTGGCTTTGGTAGGCTTGAAATTTCATGTGCTTCCTGACACGAGCAGGAACATGGCGGCTGCCAGGTGCCCTGTTTGCGATCGTCTATAGAGCGACATTTGTAATGTTCTCACGCACCAGTACTATTTCAGTTCCTTTATTCAAATAGGATCATTTGGTATTTGTATAAAGAAAATTGAACAGCTGTAAAAACATTCTTTCTCTTTTTTTATTTCTCAGTTCGATTTTATTTGTTTTATTTATCAATACTGTAGGAGTGTAGGTCATTGAAGACCCATAAAGAAGTGGACATTTGTGGACATCTGCTACACATTATGCCCGCCTCTGTGTGGAAAAGAATAATGTTGTAGCATCTGCTCCAGTCACAATTGCGAGTCAGTCCGATTCTTTCAAAATCCGCGAAAGCATCTCGCTGTGCTCAACTCCATGTGTTTTTTTTTTTCTCGAACGCACAGCTTACGGCGCGACTCAGAGGCTCGAACCAAGGGCTGCTCAAACGCTGCCGCCAGAACCGCGCGACAAAAACCCGCGGCTCGACGACGGAGCGGGCCACCACGGGCTCGGTGACGTCACATCCTGTTTCCCCCGGAAGCGACTCTTTCGTTCTCCCTTTCCCGCGCCACACACACACATCGATCCCACGCGCGTCAGCCGCTCTGGGCTGTCAGTTGGGCAAACATGGCGGTAGACTTCACGGCCACCTACAAAATCCTCGTTTTGGGCGACAGCAACGTAGGAAAAACCTGCATCGTGCACAGGTTCTGCGACGAACGCTTCTACGACACGTACATCTCCACCATCGGTAAGCAATTCTCAACTCTACGCTCGAAAACCGGGATTCGCGCGCGCGAGGAAAAAAAACTAGAATTTTCAAGGGGCTTTTACTTACCCTTCTGGTTGGGCTTCCCCCGATAGCCGCTTTGTAACGGGGGAAAACCAAACGTTCCGGGGAAACCGATTCATTGGGATATCTTGCGCCGCGTACGTCCGCGTTTGTCTCACCAACTTCCGCCGATAGCAACGCCCCGTAAAAAATATAAAATAAAAGATCTAGACCAACGGATGCTCGCCGTTAAGGAAAGGAATCGGCATGCGGTGTTTTTGATCAACTGTGTTGTTTGGAGTTGTAGCGTGCTCCTCAAACTCTCGAGTGTGGGGTAGCGTAACACTTTGGAAGGACAAATTTGAGTCTATTGTTAAAGAAATGAACGAGAACCGTGCTCTAAAGTACGAACCCGAATCGTTGTATTACGGAGCAACCGATGACTCATGTAGGTCGACTTTTTCGGGGCACTCGATAGAATGTACGTGCGCTTGTCTGGCTCCGAGAAAAGCATCGCCGTAGGTCCTTCTTCGTCGTACGCCTTGTTGCTGTACGCGGATCGGGCGATGTAGAGTTTGAACGGAATGGAGCTTGCCACGATGGATTACACTTGGGTTTCGCAGCGGGGTTGAACGTGCGGCTTATACCCATCCGGACGTTGCTCCGCCCGAATCTCGACATGCTGCAGTTAGATATAACCAAAATACGCGCCAAGTTTCGAGCCCCTTTGGGCAAAGTGGTTTGATGAGAGACTCATTACGCGTAACTCTAGGCGACAGGATGTAATTATCGAGGGGAATGCTGCTGCTGAAATATATAAAGTCGCGTTATTCGAGCGCGGCAGCTGTTCAGCTAAGCCCGCGACAACGAAGCTTGGCGTGAACAGCAGACAGAGATGACGGGAGAAACAGGAGCGAAATTCACACCATCTGTGCTAACAAACGAGAGAAGCCTCGCGCGACACCGGACCGGCTTTGCAGTCACCGCCCCCACGAGGTTTCACGCTCGCCCGCTCTCTGTCGTTCTCCCCAACCCCGGAACCCCCGAAAGGTTGGGAGCGGCTCTTTGTCGCTCCCTCGCTCCACGGTTCCAACGACGCGGGGTGACGGTGAAACAGCCAGCTGAAAATTAGACAACAAATGTAGAAAAAAAAAAAAACAGTATATAAAAGAAATGATAAAAAAAAAGTGCGACGCGGGGTTCTGACGGAGCGAAGCCGATCTTGTATCATCGCTCACCATATTCTGTTTATTATATCATGTCGTATATGCAAGGCGCAAGCGTCGACTATGTTCGCTTTTTTCAAGCTCGCTTTTTAAGTGACGTGGAAATGTTCCCGTCGCTGTGTGCGTAGTCGAGTTTCATAAACGAAAAAAAACGTGTTTTTTTTTTTTTTTTTTTTTTTTTTTACGATAAGACGGAGCAGTTGTGTGTTTTATAGTCACCGACGTCTTAAGAAGCTGAGGGTGTGGCTTATTATGTTAATGATTCTGGCTCTGTGATTGGTCCTTCGGCGTTGTTCTTATCACCTTATGGCGCAACCTCATTGGCTGCCAAGTGGTAACAAGCTGCTTGGAACTCGCAACGCCATGGGTCCCTTACGACATACCGTATTTGCCCGAATTATAGCCGCACTTCTTACGAACAAGGCCCTCGCATCTACTGTCTCGTAGAACAGCCAATCATCACGTTCTGCATGAAAAAAAAAAAAAAAAAAAAAAAAAAAAAGCTTAGCAATTATGGGGTCGAGAACATGATTCGTCGTAAATATGCGTTATCCCAGCAGATAATGATCTGGCGTGAAGGCGTTTTCTTTGTCCCGTAAACCGCCACCTTCTTTCTGCCGATCGCGGTGATTCGCTATCCCCGTGCTTCGCGGAAAAGCGGACCCACTAGCTTCGTTTGTATACAGCGCGGCCAATGCTTAAGCAAATATACGGTGCATTTTCTCGCAATCAGTAGACGAGGTGTGAACATATGGCTCAAATGTGCGCGCAAATAGGTGCCTATAGACGCCTTGCAGCATCTGTGCATGGGCGCCGCGCCATAACCGACTTTCAGTTTTTGTTTGCTCTTATTACGTTTGCTTCACTTCATCATTGCCACAACAGGACGGGTTATTCCCAGTTTAGGTGTGCTACTATGTCCTTCTCTCGAGCATAGGCCTTTGTAGAGGCACGTCAACGCCCGCTTGATTGGCTCGGCATTTCAGTAAAACAAGAGAATGTCGGCAATGCTGGCACAATCTGGCGCGTGTTTGAAGCGTCTGTAGAAGTTGCATATTTTACGCTTGCCAAGCAGGCTCACTCCAGGTACAAAAAAAAAAAAAGAAGGGCTACACTTTTTTGAGCGGTGTTCCCGATATTTCGAGTCGCGGAAATCCATTCATTATAAAACTTTCGCAACGTCAAATCTGCGCAAGAAGCTCCGTCTTCAAATTCGGGGAGAAAAATGATCTACTCAATAAGTACTCATAATTTTCCTGGCGCCATAGAATGGGCAATCGCAAAACGCGGGCCCTTCTGTAACCACGTACAGTTGCTTGAAAATTAATGATATAATATATTCTATGGAACTGTTTGACTGATTGTGTCTAGCACCGGCCACTTACTAGTAGTTTACCAGAGGATACTGGCGCACCAGCCCTCTTCGGTGTGGGCGGCGTCTCTTGTGCGGATCTTACGGTGAAACAGACTATAAAGTCCCATAACGCACAACACAATAACAAAAAAATACAGGTCTCGCGAAAGTGCTCATCGTGACGCTTCGCCGTGCAATTGCGATAAGCGATGCGTACAACGGAAAAAAAAGTAAGGCATATACAAACGTGTTTCGTGCTTTTCCTATTGTCGCATGGCCATTCTCTACCCTGGAAAGAAGCAATGCCGTTCATTATTCGCTCGTTGTGTTTTGTTTCATGCGCCATCGTATGTTTATGACAAAGTCTGGGTGTGATAACAGCTCACTCTTCGTTGCAGAGTACGCTTGTTTATATCTTCGACGCCTACCGGGAACAAAGTGTTGTTTAGTATGCAACTTTTCGTTATTCTTAAAAATTTTAAGGAAAACTGCCAAACGTTTTTTTTTATATTTTTTTATGAACATGGAATTTTACGTATACCCATCGTAAGCCCCGGTTACATACTCTACTACAACCCTCCTCATTATCTGCGTCTGACTGTCACCTTCTTCTCCTGTGCCTTGCGTCCTCGCTGACCTTTGGCCGACCTTACCAAATAAGGATTCGTAGGAACGATACATGGGCAGAGAGCACCGTCATAACGTACGTTCAATAAGCAGTGGATAAGAAGTAGTTAATTGTTGCGGAGGGAAAAACACGGTTATCTTTTTCTCCACAACACCCGGTACTTCTCATCCACTGCTTATTAAACGTACGTTATGACGGTGCTTTCTGAGTGTCCGGCGATGCGTATATATACGCATCGCCGGACACTCAGCCTCTGTCTAAATCTTGCTCCAGAGGTTGCAAACAGACGCCGAAGTTTCAGAACGTACTGTAATCTTATTCGAAAGTTAAAATCTATTTTTGAAACTTGTCAGTGGGAAAATGGCTGTCAACAAAGTCAGCGAATATAGAGACCCGGGTGACGTCTATAGCTATGGGAACGGGCTCCATTTTCTCATTAAGAAATTTCCGTAAATTTGCTAATAAACTTCAAATATAACAGTAATCTTGTGAAACTTTCACGTTTGGTCCCAAACGTCATCGTTACATTTAAGCAGAGGCTGAGCTAGCGTTCGGTGACGCGTAAATTATGTTTGCGGTGAAAAAAAAACAAAAAACACTTGTGTTCTTTTTTACACACCCGATGTAATGCTGATTTGTACGCTATTGTGTTTTTTTTTTTTTTCCAGGAGACGCTTCACTGTACCAAAAGTTCCGTAGCAGTCATTTTGTTTCTTTATTTTTTCTTTCTTTTGTATGTGCATAGAGATGTTAGTGGATGTTTCTGGTTTTTAGGACCGTGTCAGTACGTGAATAGGCAGAAGACGACAGTATCTGGAGCGGTACTGACGTCTTCTGCGTATTCGGTGGGCAGCGACCGAATTCTGCGTCGACTTCTTGGACAAAAGTACAATCGGAGAATGTTGAAAGTTTTAACACGGTCGGCTTTGGTCTTGACGATAAGACGTTCTTTCATATTACGAAAATCAGAACTAAGAGTTAAAACTAACAGCCAACATTTTGTAGACACGGAACAATACTTGACAGTGATTGTTTTAGCCTGTGGTTACTTAAGAATGTTCTACAGGAGTTTTGTTTTGTGTATTAAAAGTTTCTTATTCCTTGCTAAAATGTCAACATGCCAAAAAAAAAAAATCTGCAGACACCTTTGCACATGGAGATATATCTAAATAATTGACCCGAGTAGGTCTTTTGGGTTGAATTTGTTGTGTAAAAATTGCCGGAAAAGCTAAGCAAAGGCCGCTACAAAACGCCAGCGTGTCTCTCACACAATGACTCCAAACAAAGTAACCAAGGCTACCAAGCCCTCAAAGTTTTCTCCTAAAAACTAATCGGAAGAGTGAACATTAGTCGGTATATTGAAATTAAGAACAAAGACACGTTGTAAATGAAACGTACACATTCATAGCTGCTCCGTACGTAATATCGCTCTGAACAATTCCCGAATGCTTAATTACGTTCATTTGTTTTACCCTATAGAGTGCTCTTGTGATACCAAAGGATTAAAAAGAAACATCTCTTGATAATGAAAATAATTGAAACATCAGATTTATCTACATTAATAATGACGCGTGTTTATTTTGCAACATTTTAATTTTACTGCACTCCGTGTACACATATTTTGTGAGCCATATGTATTAAATTTTTATAGCGTCGTGGACGGTGTCTGGGGCCTTTATTTTGATAACACGTGGCTCGTGTACTCCTCCGGAGCGGATATGTCAGTCTGACAGCATGCCCTGAGACTGACACATTCGCTCACGCAAACATG